ATCCAATCACACCCATAGTGCTTTTTTACATTTGATGAAGGGATAAAGGTGCAACCGTACTAGATGATTTGGAAATACCCAACATTGATGTCATCTTGGACCCTTTACAAAGTGGTGAGTTGCTGGCTTTGATGGCTGAGTTCAAGCTTAGCCTTAATGACTATTTGGAGGAGTTGAGTGCTTCGCCAGTGAGGTCGCTATCTGACATCATAATCTTCAACCAGAACAATCTTAATTTAGTAAGTACTTCAGTTGGTGATGATGTTTCGTGTTTTGTAGTTATGCCACTTTGAGTTTTTACATGTTGAAACCATAGCCATTGATGATGTTTTGGAATTAACTCCCAGCATCGTTCGTGTGGGTTGCGAGAAACTGAAAGATGTTATAATCGACATGTTCAGGGTGTGATTGGATACGGATCCAACTAAAAAAACCCAATCATTTATAACTAAACTTCACTATCCTCAATATTATCAATATAATTAAATAACATCAATCAATCATTTAACTAACCATCACTTACATTATATCTCTCTTCTACTTTTACATCAAATCTACTTTAATTATTTTATTTTAAATAGAATTCTAATATAAATTTAAAATCTCACTAACAACTAATCATACCACATTTTTCAAAATTAACTATGGTTAACAAAAAAACCAATCAAAACCAAATCTAATTCATATCCAATCACACCCTGACATTCCCATAAAACCTATTAATATGAACACAAATATCAGCCTTTTTGATTGATACTCTAAAAAAGTACCATTTGAAGCCTCAACTTCCTCGATGCTTTCTCAACCAAAAACTGTTAATCTGCAGGAGTTATGTCAAGAATTAGGTCAAGACATCCTCCTTGCTGCGAACTCGACAAACGGCATTGAAAACGAGCAGAGACAGGCAGTCGAGACTATGGAAAGACTATCACAAGACGGATTCGAGAAGTTAATGATTGAAAATGAGTTGGATGCGATGGTGACTTTAAGTTGGGATGCCTCGACTGTGCTTGCAATAGGAGGATTCCCCGGAATCACGGTGCCAGCTGGCTACGACGCGAACGGAATGCCTTTCGGAATTTGTTTTGGTGGCCTGAAAGGCTCGGAGCCTGTGTTGATCGAGATTGGGTATGCCTTTGAGCAAGCTACTCGGGTCCGAAAGCCTCCCCCTCCTTTGAAGTTGGCTGATTTTCTTCATGCAAGCATTTGAAGGTAGTTTCAGTGAAGTTTACATATGGGATTTGTTTTAGTTCCCATGTTGGTTACTATATATTTCAGTGTTTAGAGATGTTTCTACTTCTGTAAAAGGATAGTTTGAAAAATTCAAAATTTGCTTGTGTAGACAGTTTGTATTTAACAAACTGCTATTGAGGTGTAATTTGTACAAGTACTTGTTCTTGAAATCAACTTTGCTCGCATTCTAATTAAAAAACACTCTAAACTAGAGCGGTTAACATAAACGAGTTGTTCGTGAGTTTGATTTAGTTCATTAAGGCTCGAACACAACTCTTTAAGACCATATTTATGAATTTTATGTAATTTTCTATAGTTCGACTCATTTTATTTAAGACTCAAGCTTAACTTGAATTATTTTTACGGTGATGGTAAAGATTGTTTAACTTGTAATTCAAGATTTCAAATTTTCAGGTTGATAATGAAAAAATAATTTGTGAGGAGGAAACATAAAATTAATAGAAACTTCTGTGAGTTCAATTTAGTTTGTTAAGGCTCGAGCTTGCACCTTAAGATCATACATATGAATTTTTATGTATTTTTTTATAGTTTGACGCCTTTGGGCTGGATTTTAACTGGGTTCTTTTACTGTGACTATTAGGATTGTAATTCAAGATTTCAAATTTTCAGGTTGTTAGATGAAAAAATAACTTGTGAATAGAAAACGTAAAATTAGTTTGTCCTTTCATCTGAAAAGTGCATTGAGATTTGCTCAGCTAAGAAAAGAGATTAAAAAATAAAATTGAAAATGGAAAAATCGGCGTTCAAAATAGAAGAAGCCACGATAGAGGAAATCCAAGGCGCGTTCGCCGCCGGCGAACTCACGGCGAGGCGGCTGGTGGAGTTCTACCTGGACCAGATCGAGAGCCTGAATTCGGTGCTCCGCGGAGTAGTTGAAGTCAACCCAGACGCCCGGCGACTGGCCGACGAGTCCGACCGGGAGAAGGAGGCAAGCAAAAGGACGGGCGTCCGATTGGGCGAGCTGCACGGCATCCCGGTGCTCCTCAAGGACACGATCGGGACCCACGACGAGCTGAGCACGACGGCGGGATCGTACGCGCTGGTCGGGTCGAAGGTCAGCCGCGACGCTGGCGTCGTGGCTCGCCTCAGGGAAGCCGGCGCCGTGATTCTGGGGAAAACAAGCATGAGCGAGTGGTACAAGTTCCGTTCTCTCGACAGCGTTCCTAACGGCTGGTGTGCTCGCGCCGGTCAAGGAGTGGTTTGTTAATTCCTTCAACTATTTATTTGTTTAATTTTCTGCATATAATTTCTGAAAGAAACTCTGTAGAAATCGTTAACTCTATAAATTCAGCTTATTTTAGTAAAATTTAATCCATTTTCCTCAAACAGTATCATATTCAATTTTGCCCTAACTTTTTCCTGTTTTCATTCTTTGCAGAATCCATATGTATCGTCCGGAACACCGTGTGGATCGAGCAGTGGATCAGCAATATCTGTAGCAGCAAACATGGCCTGTGTGGCCTTAGGGACCGAAACTCACAGCTCCATTATATGCCCTTCGGATCACAACTCGGTTGTGGGCCTCAAACCAACCGTGGGCCTCACGAGTCGAGCCGGGATCATACCAATGGCTCCCCGTTGGGACACGATTGGGTAACTCCTCATCATATGCTAAAAATCCAGTAAAAACATTAAAAATATGTCTTTGCTAGCATGTTCATTTGCTTTATTTTGACGCGCACAATTTAGTCGAAATTCATAAAATCGTGGGGGATTTGTTTAGTTTTCTTGTGTGGATTTCATTTTGGTTTCTCTAGAACTGGCTAAGTTATTGTAGATTATAGTTAGGTTCTTTTTTTTTTTTGAATGAATGAATGAATTGGCTGCAGGCCGATATGCAGGACTGTATCGGATGCAATTTTTGTTCTTGACGTGATAGCAGGTTTTGATCCAAGAGACGAGGCAACGAGTGAGGCAGCTAAGTTTATTCCTGAAGGTGGCTATAAACAGTTTCTTAACAAAAATGGTCTCAGAGGAAAGAGGCTTGGTATTGTTAGATACCCATTTGTCGAGAAAATACAAGACAATGCCGAACTAGAAGCTTTTGAGCGTCATATACATACATTCCGGTTTTACTTACAAACTCACTCGTTCAAAATTTGTTCTTTTGTGATTCATGAGGAAAGTTGCACAAAATTTTGATGGATGGATAAAAAATGTGATTTGGTTTTGTTTTTGGTTGCAATGCTCATTTTTGGTTAATGTAGGCAAAAAGGTGCACAAGTAATAGACAATCTGAAGATAGAACACATAGACACAATTTTGGAGCCCAATCACAGTGGCGAGATCTCGATTATGATGGCGGACTTCAAGTCGTCTGTAAATGCTTACCTGAAAGAGCTGGAAAATTCTCCCGTGCACTCTTTGTCAGATATTATCGCTTTCAACGAACGTAATCCGGACTTGGTATGTGTCGAGCTCCGTTTGTATTGAGTTTGAGTCCACCGTTTTTAGTAGCTAATTGGAGCAATTCATAATGTGGATTATTGAAAAAATGGAAAACAAAATCAATGACTACAACACGATCTCCAACCCATTCTTGATGCTAGGGGGTGAGCAAAAACCAAACTGAAACCGAAAAACTGAGCCGCCCCGTGCAATTCGATTCGTCTTTTTTAGTGTGGAATATTTTGGGTTCGGTTTTTCCTGTGCCGTTCAGTTATTATTTTTCACTTTTTTTTTTCCGTTATAGATTTGCACTGAATCGCACCAAACTAAATATAAGGGAATCACTCTAGTCCCGTCGCGGAATAATTTGAATAATTTCGTGGTTATTATTAGTTTTTAGATACACATGTAGATTACTGTAGGGTAGATAATCCATGGCTAAAAAGACTGACGAAATCATTCCGTGACGAGACTGTAGTGATTTCCTTAAATATAAATGCATAGAAAATCCGTGGAAAAACTGAAAATCTAGTTGAACCGTGCAATTTGGTTTGGCTATTTTTGTGGAAAAAAAAAATAATTGGCTCGTTTTTTTTCCTATACCACGGGCCTGTGGCCGTGTGGTTCAATTATTTTTTGGTATGTTTTTTTGGGTTTTGCAATTCAGTGCAAATAAACCAAACCGCACCATTGCTCACCCCTAAATTGATGCAACAACAGGAAAAGCTTACGGATTACGATCAACAAACTTTCATAGCAGCCGACATGACAGATGGTATAGGAGAGCACGAGAAAGTTATACTCGAAAAATTGGATAGTTTTTCGAAAAACGGGTTTGAGAAGTTAATGAAGGAGAATGAACTGGATGCAATGGTGACACCTGGCGCGCGCGCGTGCCCGGTGTTGGCAATCGGGGGGGTGCCCCGGAATTACCGTGCCAGCCGAATATGGGGCCAATGGAATGCCGTTCGGAATCTGTTTCGGGGGTTTGAAGGGCAGTGAACCTAAGCTGATCGAAATTTCATATGCATTCGAGAGAGCTACCAAGGCTCGTCGGCCGCCGTAGGTAAAATTATGATTTATGCGAAAATGTTTAAAAATGTTTCTGCAAAGTATGGTGTTTTGAAGATTTGATTAAAAAATTTCGTTTTCGTTTCAGCGGATAGATATATTATTCATTATTTCATTTCCAAATGCGATTGAACAGGAACAAATGTTAGAAAATAGAGTATTTTTTCACATCGTTCGTCTTTAATCATACGTAGGAGTTTAAAACATTAAATTCAATTATTACATATATTTTCCTAATAAAATTATTACAATTTGATGTGCATTGTGTAAGTTATGATTTTAAATATAATATTATTTTAATATTTTATCTGTATGTGCACGTAAGTACTAGTTATACTTATATTAAAGATGTAAATATATACTCCCTCGAGTTTAATTCTTATTGTCTATTTGAAGAAGCTACTATAGTTTACTCTAAAGCATGGTTCGTTACAAATAATAATACACAAACAAAACCATTAACCCAAAGAGGAATCTATTAATATATAATAAGGATTAACATAATTCAATTTTAGAAATTATTTCCCGCCAAATTCATTAATTATAGCCTAAAAATAGTAAATTAACATAATTTTCTAAAATTACTCTTAATTATTTCTGATTAACATTATTTTTTTATGGAATAAAACT